AGGTTCTTGGTTGCCGTCCTAGGATAGCATCAGCCTCTTGATGAGGAAATACTTTCAAATATTACCTCCTTCGAAAAAAAAAAAAAAGAAACGAGAAAAATATATTTATATTTAAAAATACACAGATATAGAACAGCAGCTGTAGAATTGAACTAGAATTGAACTAAAAGCCATAATGGAATGCATGTCTGTGATAATGTGGAGATAATGCAAATGAAGAATCAACACATATTCTAACACAGAAGGAAATTACCAAGAGCAAAAGCACTCACCATTCATATTATTACAACCCATGACCTGTAATGACTCAGAACACTGCTGTTTTAAATGAACTCTTAAATTCTGGAGCATCAGACAGTTGTGTCAAAATATTCAGTGAAACAATAATTTGCTTTTTTTAAGCAAAGAACTCCTCTGATTGGAAACTGAACAGAGACAAGGTGGTGATGTTTGCCTGAATCTGCTCACAGCTGGAGACCAACAGCATGGAGATGAACTCAAGGGTACATTAGATCCAGAGAATATATTCAGGTACACTTATGAAGAACAAATTCCACCAGGAATAGTTAACAAAGGTCCAAGCAGGTCAAATTGGACACCCCAGTAAATAAATTCTCAATCACAAGCTTTTAAACAATGGGCTCTCAGGGGGCAGACCAGTCTTTTTTTATTTCCTGCAGGAAAAAAAGAGAGTATTGTTTCATCACATTCCAAATGTGACCATAAGAATGAGTTAGAGGCTTCTGTGGTCTACAGATGATTATCCACAATACCATGAGATGACCTCCATGTATTGCTGCACTTGAATATTCTGATGCCCAGCACATATTCCTTTTCCTTCCAAAATACTCACTTGTATTGATATGCTATAGATGCATGCTTAAAGTCATTGACTACTTTAAAGCTGATGCCTCCCTGAAATACCATGGTAGTTTTAGAATTCTTTTCTGCTTACATTTGAAAGCTATCACTTAGAAATCCTTTTTTTTTTAAGCATTCATTAGGTTATTCTATTTTCTGAACCATTATATGCTTGTGGGCCTTAGCAAGGTTGAAGGACTGATACCAGATCCAGCTGTGACCCATTTTTGAGCAGAAAAGTTATGTGAGACTGTTCTGTAGGAGTGATGTCCACACCTCCATGTCTAGGGCCAATGTACCCCATCTGCAACCTTTGGAGCTATTTCCTACAGCATCTCTGGGCTGTACAGCTGAACAGGAACAGGCAGCAAGACAATTTCTTCTCCTCTTAAACTCCACAATTAAGAATCTTCCACCTGACCCCTCACTTTTGACAGCCCAAACACCCTTTCTCACAGAATTCCATAGGTCCAACAAAGCTCACCCACTTGTGCTGTGTATCAAACTGCTGAGGAGTAAAAATGGAAAAGAGAACAAGTCTAAGGAAAGGTTTGGAATTCAGAATCAGAGGACTCTGACTCAGAAGACAGGAGGCTGGTTGGGACATATCACACGTTTCAATTCCAACATTTTAGCCTGAAGGTATTGGCAGCACTTAAGCTACTGGCCCTTAGTGGACCAAGCATTCCCAATTATGCTGCAGCTGCCTTTAGAATTAGCCCAAGATAATCCTCTAAAGACTGTTTCCCAAGTGAGTACCAAAACCAAGTACAATCAGTTCAGTTCCTCACAGACCTAAATTCAATTTTTTTCAGAAATCTGTTGTTTCTCCAAGAGGCAGTAACACTTCTTAAAACTGTACCACTCCTATGTCAAAAGTCCTGGTTTTGAAAGAAATGAGGCTTTACACAGTGATAATCAACTTTCCAACATGAAATCTTGAGTTTAAAGGAAACAAGCACAAATAATTTTCTGATGAAGAACAACTAAAAATGACTGTAGAAGCTGACTGGTTACCTCTTCAGAAAGACAGGAAACACTGGGGAGAGAAAAAAGTCTGGGGACAGGACAAAGGGAAGCAAGGGGTCAGCAGAGAGGCCTTGTCTCAGTTGCTTCACATCAATTATCAATCCTGACAGTGCCAAAGGACACAGCCCTGACACACATAAAGGTTGTTCCATGTCATGTTTTCTACATATGACATCTTGCCAGAGATTTCCACCTCTATAAAAGTCATATTTTTGTCTAATAGTATGTGAAGCTCCTCAGGAGTGCCAAAGTCATGTTGAAGAGGCAGCTGGATGAACATTTTGCAGACATCCTCTTACAGGAAAGGTGAACAGACACAGGAATTAGCTGCTTTGCTTTAGTAGCAAAATTCCTCTGGGAATATTCCTAAATGGTATTAAACATTTAAATGAACTAACTTCTGGCTTTCACAGATGACTTTGTCCTGCACAAATACTGGATGAGAACACTCAGGGGTGACAGGGGAAGTATTTTGTATCCTAAGAGTATTACTGTCCAGCTTCTTTCTGTCTGGATCCTAGAATGTTCCAGCCTAATGTTGCTTGCTCAGAAGCAGCACAGCTGGCCAATTATCTCTGCAGTTTGCTGAGAAGGGAACAGGGAAGTATATTCCATGCTGTTAGGGCACAGAGACACCGAGTGCAACCATGTAAATGCAGCCCTGGGAATCTAAGCCTGGCTGTTCAGACACTGCTGGGTGATAAGAACATTTAAGCTCTCTGGAAATGCGCTAATATTTTTAACTGGGAAAGGTCCAAGCAGCAGCCACACAAAATCAACAAGTTATGGGATGGAGAGATTATTTTAACAGCACTTCCAGTGCTGAAGGACTAGAGATGGCCATGGAATCTGTCTCTGAAAATAGCATTCAGGCAGCTTTAGCTGAGGCACAAGCAAACCAAGTTTGGTAAAAGGTTCCTTTCATTCCTATTTTCAAGTTTTGTATATTACTCCCCTAATTTATCCTATTCCTTTGCCTGTTTTTTGTTGGTTTTTTGCTGTTTTTTTTTTCCTGATGGAATGATGGAGGAGGGAGGGAAAAGGTAGGTTGCAAGTAAGCAGATCATGGTATTTTATTTTTCTATATTTTCTTATAGAATCCAACCCATTATGGTCCTGAATGGAGCTTTCATACAATTAAAATGTGTGCATGTATGTACATGAGTGCATGTGTATATGTGTGTGTGTGTGTCTGTGTTCACAGTGACATTGATGCCTTTAGTGAAGAGAGTAGGAAAACAAGAGAAGATAAAGAGAAGAACCTGAAAGTGTTTTGACTGCATCAAAAGATCTTTTCTTTGGATTTAAGCAGCTCTATTTTTCAAGAATGTAACAGCTCCATTGTCTTTGATTTTCTGGTTTTCTCAAGATTCTCTCTCTACACTCCCTCTAGTGTTCCTTAAATTCACTTGCATTTACTCATCCCTGCTGTATTCACTTAGTATTTCACACAACATTTAGTTGTTCATTTCCCTTAGCTTTTCCATAACCTACAGGAGAATCATTGGAAGTTAGATTAATTTTTATGAGTACTTTTCTCCCTGCAAAGATTGAGGAAATAGAGATTAACAGGCAAAAGCAAGAGTAAAGTGTCAGATTAATTCTGAGACAGCAATTTGTACTGTGTTTGTAGGTAGAGGGGATGACTTGGTATTGAGAAAGGAGGAAGATTTTGTTTGCAATACTTTTAATGAATGATTCGTAGGCAAAGGAAGAGAGTTGAAGCAGGACACCACTTACCTGAGTGTCTTCCTGCTACTCTAGCAAATACAAAAAACTCCCTTCAACATTCACACACTGGTTACTTCAAGAGTTTAAAAAAAAAAGGGAACGAGAACAAGATTCTCCTGGTCATCTCCCCATTTCGTGGGATGCCCTGAAGGCACACTAATTGCATATTTTCTGTTACTCTCATCTTATGGTTCAATAAAAGAAAGAGAACAAAGGGGAGACTGGATTAATACATTATTTTTAAAAAAGGAACAGAGGTAAGTTAATTCCCTCTAAAGCAATTAACTTTTTTGTTTCTCCTTTATAACACAGTTTTAGTATTTATTTTACATTACCCATGGCCACAAATGAAAACTAGAAAAGGGCTAAACAATTGTGAAAATGAAATAAAAGCTCTATTCCTAGGGTGGTTTTGTAGAGATTTAAGACTGAATCATCTAGAAGCAACACAGACTCAAAACAAACAAATCCCACCAAATATCAGAGTGAAGCTGCTGAGATTCTCCCACCTTATCCACCAAGTAAAAATTTAAAACAGAAAGAGAAAAAAACATCTGTGTCATGAGTAATTTGTGATCTTCTACCCATTATATTGAATACTTGGCATCTCCTGTACTAAATGGCAGACATTTGTACAAACTATTGTTCTGTGGATAATATACTAACCAAAATATTTTAATTGGAACAAGGGAAATATAATAAAAGAAAAAAGATAAAACTCTGTTTCAGACTAATCCATGAAAATTAACAACCTTTACCTGCAAATCTGATTATTTACCACACATCCTACAGAAGTACCACAAGAGCTTAGTCACTACATAATAGAAAGTTGTGCTTTAACTCTAATATTTCATAGGGATGTCAAGTTAAAATTGGATATTTATGACAATTATTTTAACATATCACCCACTCAATACACTTTAAAAGGCAAAATCTTCTCAATATTTTTCCCCAAGATATCACAGCTGACCCCTGGATGCTGACTAGCATTTCTACATTAGAAATATTGATTCCTGTCAGTCTGTTTATATCCACATATTCATTGGCATGTTTTAAAACATACAGAAAAAATGTTTACTGAATATAATCAATATCTGTTCCATTCCCATTTTTGATTAATAAAAGAAATGTAGGTTTGAATGTCATAAACTTCAAAATTATTCTGTAACCTAATCTCAAACTTCTGCTTAGTTTCACTATTTTCTATGTAATTACAATATATAAATCTCTGCTAGAGTTCAGTAATATTGAATTATTTGCTTGCAGCACATAGATATCAAGTCCCAATTCTTGCACTGAGTTAGCACACTCCAGCAACAGAAAGCAGATTCATAATGAGTATTTCTACCACAGTATTTTGCTTTATCATGCAGACTTACAGTGCTGTCAATATATGCTTCAGTCCACACCACATCATGCTCCTGGTCAATAACCTTTGGGCGGCTGAGGACATGGAGATATTCCATAACATTCTCTTGCACATCAGCCAAGGTAGAGATCTGAGTAAAAAACCCTGTGAAAACACAATTCCCAGCTATAAACCAGAGAGAACAAAGAAAGGAAGTTTTCAAGAAGTATGACATGGTTTAAAAATGACTAACCTAAGTTTAATTAGGAAACCTGTACTTGAGAAAGCAGAATCCTTTGTTTATGGTTAAAAAAAAGTCAAAACATAGTGTACTTTCTTAAATCAGTGGAAGAATCATGAGAAAAAGCAATGTATATGTTACTCTTTCTGAAATGCTTCCTGCTCCAATTTTAGGACCTCAAAGAATGGGTTTCTCTGTCACGTGAGTAATGTGCAACACTTTAGTATTTGGTCCTTTTAATTTGGTGAAAATGTCAATACATAGTCAAAATATGTTTATTGGCCAACTATTCACATAGAGAACCTCCTCATAAATTGTACATAAACACAGGTACGTGCACACTCTGTGGTTTATAAGTCTTAATCAGGGATCCAAAATACTTCACAACTGTGTGGATCACTCATTTTACATTGGGACCTACATTTTCCCAAAGCAGTTCAGAGTGAATGAATTTTAATATGGCTTTTTTTCAGAATTACATTTGAAGCAGAGATCTGTTGGCACTGAGTAGTATCCACTAAACTATATGATCTCACCTGCACTCAGATATTTAATATACTTGAGCACATTGTGTGATATATATTTTATACATACATATAAAAAGTGGTATTATAATGTCTGAAAAGTCAGAGGAGATTAAGTACTTGAAAAAGTTTGTATTGTGTCTAAGTTGATAGAAAAGACGTTTTTAATCAAGTAGTAGTTTGCTACCCATACACTTTAGAATCACAATCAATTAACTCTTTTCATTATCATACTTCACTAAAATCAAAACCTTAAAGAGTCATTTAAGAAGCTCCTGGATGCTTATGCCTGGAAAATTCTTTAATTACAGCCTATAAATTACCTGTGAGATAAAGAATGCATTGCTGTAAAATTAGCATCCTTTTGGATTGTCTCCTGAAGTGTTTTTATGTCACAATTTCAAGCAAAAAAAATTAGCTAGATAACTCAAACAAAAAGAAAAAAAATAAACAGAAAACAGAACCCAATCTGAAGCACTTCAGCATTGTGCCATACAGGTTTATACACGTTACAAGACGCTGGTAGTGCTGCATTTTCTTCTTTTAGAAGAGACCCCTGTGGACCAGGTGCAGCCAATGTGAGCAGAAACACCTACTCGAGCACTTGTTTGTGAGTATTCTTTGTAGGGATGTGCATTGCTTTTGGTATTTCTCTTTGCAGCATTTCTGAGAATGTTGCCATATCACAACTTAAAAAGAAATCTCCGGGCAGCATGTTACAGACAAAGGATTCATTCCTCGTTGTAGTATTGCAAATCATATGTCTAAAGCATACAATAAACAGGTTTTAGCCTAATTTCCTAAGACTAAAAGAGACAGTAAGTCTGAATTAATTTCGTATAAACTTAGTAAAGAAATAAAGGTTTCCAAGATAAGTGTCAATCTTCACCTAATGGAAAAACTCTACCAAAAGTTACTACATTACAGCTAGGAACAACATTAGGTAACATGCTTTCAGTTATTTTTTTTAATTTAAATTCAGGTTTTTTTGACAATTCACGTGTTTCTAGCTATACGTAACTCACAATTACCCTCCTACACTGCTAAGTTTCCATGTCTTATCTACAGATCAGAGCTATCCCACGGAACGAAACCCCTGACTGTTCCTAGAGCCAGGTTTAATCAGCAGATAAAGATGCTCTGAGCTCCTTGGGCGCAGCTGCCGAGGCCATGTCAGCAATAGCAGCAAACCCAAGCTCCAGCTTTTGCATTCCAACACCTGCTGCTCAGCTCCCTGGTGTGTGAATTATGCCACCTCAGAGCCCTCTCACAGTCAGCACCAGCTCTTTTTTCCTCCCCAGCAGGAAAAAACTCGTGAAGGAAATGGGTAAGATTTGGTAATAACAAGCATGAGAGATGTATAATAATGTGGTAAAAGACAGACACTTATGCTCTGCATGTGGGCTGCTTTCCCCATTACACAGTCCCTGCATGTTTAGCTTGTTTTTCTCTAAAATGTCCACCATTAGACTGATAACTTTTCAAAATGCCTCCACCTGATTTTTACACGGAGTGCAGTACTTTTCGTTTCCTGGGCACGGTGCAGAAGAGATGCAATACTCTTGCAACTAATAAAAGAGCAGAATTAAAAAAAATCCTCTGGGCAAGGATGAAGCAGTGAATCCATTGTTTCAGCGCAGCTGTAAAAGCCCCGTGGAGGTTCCCCTTTCCCACAGCAGGCCCCTGGAGCAGGTGACCAGGCTCAGGAACTGGCTGGCTGCCACCCCAGAGCCCCCAGTGCAGGAGGGGCTGGGGTCATGCTCATAATGGCCATGGATGTGATGGGGCTCCCTGCACAGAGCTCTGCTCTGCTGATACAACACTCTATAAACTGCTCCAGCTGGGGCACAACCTGCCTCGGGGCTCATCTCTGCTCTGCTGGGCTGCAGCCACTATCAGCTCTCTGATTCTCAAAGCAGTTTTCTCTGCCTCGCTTTCTCAGCCTCTGCTCCTTTGCACTGATGAAACCAATCCTTTGTCCATTTTAAAACGTGCCAACAGCAGCGATGACCTGGGACAAAATGTTTAAAAAGCCAAATAAATAAAACAGAAGCTGTAAAATTGCTACTGCAATAGTGAATTTTACTTAAAAAAAAAAAAAAAAGAGGAAAAAAAAAAAGAAAAAACAAAGAGTTCCAGCTCTCTTATTAGCAAGTAATGCATCAAATCCCAGCTTTATCTCTACAGCTTTCTGCTGGAAGTGATGCTGAAGGAAAGGCAGTGCCTATCATTCCTGAATTCTAGATGTTACAGCTAACATCTGCACATGCACACTAAGCACTAGGAAATTTTCACCTTTGCTCACTTCAGAATCTTAGTAAATCTTGTTTTCCTTAATAAGCACTTGCTCATGATACAGAAGAGTAAATCACTGCAAATTTCACAAACAGCTCTAGAGGGGTTTTGGGGATCTTGAATGTTTTAATGTATTTAAAATGGTTTGGTGTTCTGCTTCATTAAGCGAGCTCCCTCTAGATATGCCCTACTTATACAGAAAAATGTAACAGAAAAACAGGCTTGGGGTTTTTCAAGGTTTCACAATCAGAACTTCGAAGCTAAAGAAGTTTTGCAAGGTGGTGTGAATTTCCCCTGTGACCCGTTCTGAAGGAAAGGGCTGCTGTCCACAGTCCAGTCAGCTGGAAACCCTGCAAACAGCCTTCATCTATGCTGTGCTTCCAAGGGGAAAATCACTGCAAGGAAAATTTATTTTAGGGTCATTCACCCTCAGTGACAACAACATATTTTGGCCCACCCACACAAGGAGTAAACTGCAGTCCTGCTATTGAGCCAGTTTCAGACCAGTTTTACCACACTCCTCATCTGTTGTGCTGTAATCCCTCATTTCACTGGAACAAAACGGACAAGGTGTAAGTGAAAACTGCAAGGAAAAGTCTAAATCTGAACTGTCTGATCATGACATGCTGTTTCCAATTGTGATTTTCAAAGCTGAAAAAAAAATTATTTAATTAATGATTAGAGGTAGAAGATTTTTACATTATAAGCTATCAGAGAGCAGGTATTGTAACTATTAAACTGAGAGGGAAATAAATTTCTAGAAGTAACAGTCATTAAGCTGTTTAGTTGATTCATATGAGTAAGATTCTGACTCAAAGCAACATGGCTCTGAAAAGAACAAAGTAGTCCTGAAGAATGACAAAGGTGACCACTTTTCCCCTCTGGGAATAAGGAAGACGTGGACCAGATGATCTGCTAAGGCAGCCTCCATTGCCTGGTCCTAATTTCTGAGTTGCTGTACTTAGATCTTTATGAATTTGTGGAGCTGGGCTAAAAAGTTAAAAGATTTTGTTGATTAAATTGTCTTCAAAAAAGATGCTTCAAAGGATTCTTATACTATTATTTAAACTAAATTATGGTGTAATATTAGCTGATTAAGACAAGACTTCAAACTGAGTAATTTCCATCAGCTGGACATAACAGTAGTTAAAGAAATAATGACTAAATGGATAGCACCTGATGCAATTCATCATAATGTAATGTGGCACAATGGAAAAAAAGAACTTTTTTTTCCAAGAGGAAAGAAAAAGGAAAACCTGAAGATTAATTGGAGTCTGGGGCTGGTTTTTTCCTGAATCATTCCTACTTATACTAGTCAATCCTTTTACTGCAGCATCTCAGCATCTTAAATGTTTTAATGCTCTTTTCCTTAAAGGATATAAACCAGTTTTTTTCAATTACACTGTCAGTTCCTCAAGGGACAGGATGTCTGGTGTTTTACATACCATGCCTAACTCAACAGGACTTGTACCTAATGTTCTTAGAAACCAAACTCACTCTGAGTAACAACAGATAGAAGAGAACAAATGCTTTGAAATGAGTTTGTTCTCTGAACAAAAATTTAAGACCACATAGTTTAAAAGCTTCATACATATTTTAAGCAAGAAAATTTCAAATTGCAGTTTTTTCTCTTTAAATTGGATGTTAAAAGATAATTAAGTATTTTCATTTTCTGGGAAAAATAAAACAACCCATCCTCTGTGATTAGTTGCCAGTGGCACCATATCTGTAGAAGGGTCACTTGTGCAGGAAGGCTCAGCTCAGGGGTTTTGAAAATAGATTTCACAAAAGGAGCTTAATCAACCTTTGTTAGCACAGGCCATCCACTTCAGGTTATCAGCAAATGCAGCTTCTCTTCCAATCAGATAGGTAAAAATACGGACCTGAAAGTAAAATGAAAAGATAAATCAATTAATACTGCATTTAGAATATATCCAGTGGAACTTCAGATACAGATTTGTAATTCACAGGACAAACCCTTCCTAAGAATTTATTACTGGTTAAGCAGTACAGTAGGTTAAAAAAAATAAATTCTGCCACTAATGTCTTCCTGACAAAATGTGGGTTTAGCTCTGTGTAACAGAATGGCTGATCTTTTTCAATGTGTTTAATATCTGACCTTTAACTACAGTTATGCTTAATGTGTAATTAACAATAAACTAAAACCATTGGAGTAAAAAATTACATGTTTCAGACAAATCTGTTCTGCACTTATGAATTCAGAAAATTGTTATCATATAGGGGAAGAGGCACTTAACTAGCAAATACTTCTGTAGATAAAGAATCTGCAAGACCAGGCAAGCAAATTCCCCTCAGTTTTCAAGGTTCATATGACACAATATCATTGTCAACACAAAGACAGGTACTCAGAGGTAGCACTTTAATACAATTTAATTCATTTTCATATTTAAAAACGCCACAAATTTCTGTTTTTCCATTAGGATTTTTCGTCATTCATAACTGATATTTTTAAAATAAACCAACTTTATACTTCGTTCCCTTAGGTTTTATTTTTTCCCACAGAAGTAGTTTTAAAATACTCTGAAAGTCTCCCTCTTTACTGTCAGTTGTAACACCCTATTATCTCACTGCCCTTTTATCCATTTTCTTAATGGCCACATCCTGTTTCCAGGCATACACAGTGCTCTGTGTTATCATCATGCCTAGAGACCAGATTCCAATCACAAAACTTTTCCCAGTCTCTCAAACATAAAATATGCACAGAACTGAATTGTGATTTATATGGTATAAAAAGTCTACACACTGATGGTGTAGTGTTGCAAGTTTGAGTCCAACAGTCTGCATAATCTAATTCTAAGACTCTAAAGAACACAACATTAAACAAAAGAATGGTGCTTTTATACTTTGTTGATTACTATGAAAGCATTAATAAAGAAATTCTTTGTTCTGCAAAGACACATGAAAGTGCAGTGAGATTTATGCTCTCAAAATACAGCATAAATCACTGTCACGTTTTATCTTCCTGCAAATGATGCTTGAAAATAGCCTGTGATGAGACTGAATACTCTGAGAGATTTATATTTAATGATCTGCTTTAATCTATAAAGAATCAAACTAGACTGTGTTCCTAATAAAAGGAGACCAGCCTTATCTGAACAGATGAGCAGTAAGCATGATAACAGGCACAGGCAGCAAAATAACCTACAAAAAATAAAATTTCAACAAACTGGGAACATGGATCATCATGAGGAATGGGCTGTCTCTGGCATACTGTTGCAAGGATTTTTATGACTTTTTGCTGAGTATATTTTCTATATCTAGTTTATTTACTATCTAGTAGTTTTGCTAGAAAATATTTTAAGCATGATAAAAATACTGCTAATTGTAATTACTTGAAAGTATAAAGGAATCTATAAAAAAGAGCTAGAAGGGAGTGATCCAAATTTATGAAGTGCTGTTTCCTTCCCTGTTTTAAGGTATTGTGACTTTTCTCTACACACCTACCATGGTACATGTTAAACAAGTGATGTTTACCATGGTCAGCATGAAGTAAAAAGTCTTTTATACAGTGAAATACAAGTTACACTATAATTTTAAAAAATCCTTTCTATATTGCTTGGGAATGAATAGAACTACTATTATTCATGGTAGTATTGTAAGAAAATAGCTATGGCAGGATCACAGGAAGGTATTTTAGTTAAAGCCACTGATAAATTTTTCCTTCTACATTGACCTTAAAGACACATTAATAAGTATTACAAATATTGTTTTCATTCAGAATAGTGAGAAAAATGCTCAAGATCAGTTCTGATGGAAAACAATTCTGATTATTTCTCTACTTCTAATAGTTTCATTTGATCAGGTCATTGAACCCATCAGCATAAACTTAATTACTGTGAGCTGGCAGTGAAAAAGGAGTAACCACACTCTGCAGAAGTATCACAGAATTAACTAAGTTGGAAAAGACCTTTGAGATCATTGAGTCCAACCTATGGGCCAACACCACCTTGTGCATCAGACATTGCACTGAGTGCCACATCCAGGCTTTGCTCAAACACCTCCCAGGATGGAGACTCCACCACCTCCCTGGGCAGCCCATTACAAAAAAAAAAAAAGATTTGGCATATTATTTTCTGCTTTCAGAGACCACAGCAGTGGCTTAAGTAATAAATTATTAGAACTGAAACTTGCATGTATAATTCTACATTGTAAACCCCATTTTCCAAAACAAGCTTGGTTCCACACACCTTTTACACTAGTTTTACTCTTCTAGATAGGTATTCTATGTGATACTTCTGGATGTATAATACCAATAAACAGGAAAAAAGCTACTGGGGCCACAGATTTGTTTACTACAGATGCATAAAAATATAACTCAGTACTACAGAAATACTACATGAATTTGGTAAGATAAGTTCAAATTACTTCAACTGCTCTCCATGGATGAAACCTGTGCAGTGATGGGCTATGTATGGTGCAAAACAGGACACACAGCATTGTAATAACCACTGAAATTGTCATTGTACATTGATTAGACACGAGGGACCAGATTGAATATCCATCCATATTCTCAGATCCCAGGCAAGATGCACGTTGGTAGGTAAAGCTGTTAACAGTGGCCACCAAATTTTCTTCTTGTATATTTGAGGTAACTGAATGCAAAGTGTGTCAAATCAGTCCTGCTCTGCAAAAAGATTGCATGAAATGTTTCTTTTGTTCAAACAACCCACATATAGCATTAATATTGTGTAGTCTGCTGATAAGTATGCATAGTACTGAGGCATATGATTGAAATCTCTGTAATTAATAATACATGAGGAAGGCATGTCTGTTTCATTCTGTTGTTTGTATAGGACCTTGAAGAAAATAACAAAACAGAAACTATTAGCTTTAATAGGTATGTGCACTATGCAGACACACACTGATGCACCTGTGTTGGTATCTTATGGTACAGCTTAATGCTAGGACACTAAAAATTCCTTTTAATCCACATGGAGAGAATGTTTCAGACAAGGGAGACTGAATAAATTCAAAGCTGTTATGGGCACATCCCAGAAGATCCAGTAACAACATTTACATAGTCTACATCTGCTCTGGCTAACTGAGTACAAGCCAAATGAGTAAAACACCTCTGAATATCCAAGTGCTGTGTCTGAATCAAGAGACCACTTCCATCAGAGAAGGAATCAGCCTCAGAGGGTGTAAGTACCTTTCTGGCAAAAAAACGTCATAGAGAGCCCTTCAGTTCTGGATAATTTTGAAAGCATACAAGATACTTGAAAGAGACACCTGAATCAAAATATTTTCTGTGTCTGACCAGAAAATTATTGTATCAACTATATTAAGGCTTATCATGAACTATTATGTTTAGAGAAAAAACATATTCTCAGGCAAATGCAGCCTTGAATTTCTATATCCTACCTACAAAACTGAAAATTGTGGATGTCAGATTCACTGAACACAAAGCAAAGCTTACTACAAGAGCAAAAACTTTAACCTTTAACCAGTTATACTTGCTGTTTCTGCACAGAGGTGCCATAGACTGCTATTTTTAAACCAATGTTCACAGAATATGGAGTGAGAGCTGAAAGAAACTGAAAGGACAAAGGAACTGGAAACTTTAACAGAGCTTGTGACTTTCTCACTTCATATTTTTCTGAAGCAAGCACTGAATGGCAAAGAATATAATTTGAGATTGATGTATTTTAATTATATTTAAAACAGCAGCTGTGGAAACCTCCCGTATGTTACCTTCTTATTATGTCTCATTCCTGACCTGGAAGGGTCACTTCCTGGAAAGAGACTCCATTCAGTCCCTCTTCTCACTAAAAGATTGCTGCAGAAGCTCTAATGGTTCCAAAATGTGGACTCAAATGCATATTATGCAACCAACGAATTTACACAGTGCATTTCATGATGGTTAGCTTCTGTGTGCAACACTGGTCAAAACTAGTGAGAAGCACAACACATCAGCTGCTGTCACAAGCTGTGTTGGCAGCTACTCCCATCTACTCAGCAGAATTAACCAATATTAAGGCATCAAACCTCCAAGCTCAGTAGTTCAGACAAAACTGAACACAAATCTTACACTGAGTAAAACACTTAAATCAAAAGCAGATATATAAACTGGATATATTATTGGCATTTTTATCTTGCTTTCTCCCTGGTTTTCCAGTCTCTGGTTTTTCATTCTTGTTGCCTTACCCAGGCACAGATCGTGGTTTGGACTACATAAGGGGTTGCTCTCTACTCTTTGTTGCAGCCCCTCAAATTTTGAAGAATAAGAGAGTATTGTTAAGTTTCTTCCTTCTTCTTCCTTTTACAGCCAGGGAATATTCTGAAGTTTGAACCTTTAAACTCTGGACAAAAGGTTTATATAAGAGCTCAGAGATGCATATACCCAACCATTAGTGAGGAAAGCTAAGAATGATGGCTTAAATGACAGCTATTTCAGTGCTAACCACTTCATCTAAAATACCCACTTAAGGGTTTCATCCATTATGTGTGTGCTAATCTGCACTCCCTGGACTGTCCTCACCTCTGAAACTTCATTAAACTGGCAGTGTAAGGAAGAGAATAGGGACCTTCTCCCATCTCTGTTTAAGCAAGACAAGTCAATCTGCAAGATTCACACAATGAAACTGTGAATTCATATATTCCTGCCAAACAGCTGGTAAAACAGTATTTCCAGAAACTTAAAACACCGTGTGGAAGGGGAAATGGGACTTCTGCTTGAAGCTGACAGTGCAGACCTCTGTTAGCAGCTGCAAACTATTTCATGGACACCTTCAGCAAAATAGTCTTTCCTTTGTGGCTCAGCAAGAAATAAAAATAATCCTGTAGCAAGAGCTATGGAATTTAAGTGGGATATAGGGACAAAATTCAAGTTCCCATAGTTATAATCTATGGTGGTCCAGGAACA